ATTGGTATCCATGTGAAGGGCAACTTTGTTTTTCTCAGATTCTCAGAACTTCAACTTGTGTTTGAACTGCAGACATGCCCTTTGAAAACCAGAGAGATTTATTTATAATTGGCTAGATTTGCAAGCTTGCTTTATTACATGATTTCCTGCCCAGAGTTTCTTAATACTGAATAGAAATTGTTATGAAAACGTCTTACTTCAGGGCATTTCCAGGCTAGCAGGGCTGAAGCAGAACCTGTCATTGCTGGCCCAGTTTTATTTCTGGAAAAATCTGCTAAACTGAGCCAGAGTTCAAGTCCACAAGGGGAACACATACACACGTAACAGCCGTGCACGCACTCAGTGAGTTAGTTCCAACTCCTGTTGTGGGACTTTTCAGCTTGATGCCTTTAAACTATACATGAGCAATTGCTCTGCTAACCTGATGACTGTCTTCTTCTTGCAGTGTCCTGTAAAAATGATTTTGTGTATGTATCATCTCAGACTCAGGAATATTCTTATTTTTCTGTTTTGCCAACTCACTGGCTGTCAGTGGAGTAAAAGTGGGGGTGAGGGGAAGAATCAAACTCAGCATGAAGTATGGGACTTCAGCCTAAAACGTAATATGGAATCTTTACCTCTGAGCAGAACTGTGGTATTTTATGCCAGAAAACAACACAGTCTCAGCCAACTAGGGATTAGCTGTTATTATTCCGGCTTTTTGTTGCTAACTTCTCTATGCTAAACCCATAAGGAGAATAAAAAATCAGCTGACTTTAGAGGTGGTAAAGAACTGGGGAAGGAGTTGGTACTCACCTGTGATTTCCTCACTCTGGTACTGCATGGTTGACATCCTCCATATACTGGGAGATCTCCAGAGTTCTGCATGATCTGCTTTTACTGCTATAAGGGCATTTAACCACAATAGCAATAAGGTTCATAGGAACACCGGTCAAGCAAGAGCTTCACCCAAAGCCTATTGAACTTATAAGTGCATTTTATTGATTTTAATGGGGTTTGGATTATATCGTCAGGGAACCGAATGGAGCTGCTTCTGACATTTTGTGCAGTAATAATCTGCAGTTCAAGCCTCTGACCGCACTTCAGCAATTTGAAACTCAAAAGATTTCAGTGTGGAAAGTCTGTGCTTCATTACCCTGCTTTAAGGGGAAGAAGCTTAACATGTAATAGAAATGAGTATGAAAACTGCTTACTTCAGAACATTTCAAGGCACAACTTGTTGCAGTAATCCATTTTCATTCCTGGTGGGGGCTTCCTTCCCAGTTCTTTATGGATTGAAAAAGACTTCACCTCCATAACTCCCCCCAGGATATATTAAGATCAGGTCTAGAATGCATTGGAAAAGGAAGTTTCCATTCCACAGAAACTTCAGAATTTCAACATTGGTTCTAGTTTCAAACCAAGACGAGGGGTTGACATTTCAAAGCTTTTCAGAGAGTGAAATATTCCCCAGACCTCTGATTCAAAAATGGCAGTGTTATGTTTCAAACTGTGTCCACCAAACCATTACTCTGAGCTGTAGATTAGAGGTACAATATCCCTATTCACCGCTCTGCCTACCAAGCTGGTCAAGCAGTATCTTCCACGGTGCTTATTTTCACAAGTCCTCAACCACCCCAAGTCAGATGAGTATGGCCACAGGTCAGGCTTTTCTAGTTCTGCAGCCAAAGTGAATCTACTTTTCCTGACAGCTGAGTCTCTCCCAGTGTGTTGCATCTTTGGCATCCCTGATAACAGCCATTCCAAAACCTCTCCTCTGTGTTTTGTTCATGTTATGGGTGGATGCGGAAAGAAACAATTCTACCTTCTTGTTCCTTGCTAACTCTCTGCAGATTTTTTTGGGGTGGTGGTGAAATATTTTCACCCATACCTTCATCTTTTGCAGTGAGTTCTCTGCAGCCTTGACAGAGAGTGAAAATATTGTTATAGAAATGACATATTCTCATCTCAACTCAGCCAAACCTATGTTTCTTCTGCTCATAGAGACAAAAGTTATTATTCTCATGAACTGTGTATTTTTTCAGGAGTACTTTAATACTTCCTTGTCTGATCTTTTGCTTTCATAAGAGTCCAGCCTATATAATGTTTTCACATAAGAGCTACTAAAAAGTAATATAAGAGATCTGGAGTAGTGTTTTTCATTTTAAAGCATCAGTGACTCCATTGCAAACACTACCAACCTTTTTACTGAATGTAATTACGTCCAAAAGATGGAAGAAGAATTTCCCTAGGTAGTGAAGGGAGAAAAAAAAAAAAAAAAAAGAAAAAAAGCAGTGAACTTGGGAACATTTTTTATTTCAGGCATTACTTAATCACTCATAAGGGTTTTTAATGAAAATTTCATACATATTCCCAGAGCTCTGGGTATTTATTAAGAAGACAGATAATCTAACAGAGTAAAGCAAAAAACTCTGTAGAAACCCTGGGGAGAAATAGGAAATTTATTTAATTTCATCAAAATTTCTAATAGCAGAAAATTATCTGAGAGACTACCAAGTACAGGCAGTGCATTTTGTACATACCACGTAAGTTTTGGGTTTCACCAGAGGTCTCCATTTTGCTTATACTTCCATTTGAAATACAGCATTTCAGCTAAAGAATTATTTTAATGCTATACAGTAGCAATGGCTGTCCATCTCAAAAAGAGCAACGAACTTCAGTGTAACTTCCTTTCGCACCTGATATTTTCCTGGTGGTTTCCTCTACAAGTTGTGACCTATCTTCAAATTGCTCAATTTATAAATTAACTTTAATCAGTTTACAGCCCATGGCAACGCGTGAGTTGACGATTCACGAAGTTTAAAAGGCTTTAAAGTAGTAAAGGCTGGTTTTGAAATTGATTGCCACATACCTGGATTTAACATCCAACCCTTTTCACATCCAGGCAGTTCACATGTTCTTTTCAAAATAAGTAAAGGCATGCAAATTTGGATACCACTGTAGACTGAACTCTTGAGTGAATATAAAATATGTTAGGAGCAGATATGAAATGGGGGAATTCTGGCCTTTCCTTTGATATCTGGGTTCCTCAGCAGGACCCTTCTCACTGTGGGTGCTAGTGAGCTGTAATGCACTGGAAAGAAATTAATCTGATTTGCAGGTATTATGTCATACAGTTTTCAGATCGTGCAAGTGATTATTTTCACATCTTGTCTTTGCAGAAACGTTCATGAAAGTTACTGCAAGCCAGTCTGTGTATATCAAAGGTGGTTCAGCTCCTGCAGGGATATTCTTATTCAGAAAAAAAGTAGACCTAAATCTTACATGGTGTCACTGGTATAATTTATACATCTGTACTTGGAAGCTCTGTATGGAGTAGTCACAAACGAGATAATCTTAACTTTGCTTCAGCTATCTAACCATTATTTGTCATTGTGTTTCTAATGTGATAAAATGTCTCTTGAAATCTTGATATTACTACGTTTTCAGGGAAATGTATCATTTATGCTCTACCGTTACTCCATTAGCCCTCATTAATTCCTTTGGAAACTTTGTAATACAATGCAGAAGCATAGACAACTGACCCAGTTCTGACCCAGTAGAAGTACATAAAGTCAAAGAAATTTGATGATAGCTTTCATCAGGCCTGAATCTAAACCTATAATGATTTAAATTAAATTAATTATACTATCAATATGACAGACAACCAAGGAAACTGCTGTTGTGCCACTAGGAAAATAATGATGTTAGAAATGGGAATTGAATTGCTAAAGGTAAATACTGGTTATTAATCACAGCCTGCATTTTCACAGGCAAGTGAAGAGAAAGTGTGACCCTAGCAGAGATCTGCAATTCTGCACACGTAGATTTGCACAAATAAGGAATATTAGTCTGAATGTTTAAGTGGGCAAGTTTCACATGCATATGGAGCTTTTATGAGTCTGGATGATAAGTGTCCTACTTGCTCGTATCAGTTTCTAGGACCCAGCTCTCTGATTTAACTGAAACTCACAGATGCAGGAAAATTTAAAGCTGAAATAAACACTTTATTTAAAATTCCCTGTGTTTATATATACTCTCTGTTTGGCTAAGAATCTTAGCACAAACTCTTTAGAAGTAGAATTTATACACAAATGTTTCTTCATTGCTTACTTTGCACGCCAGAATGCTAGAAGGCCTTTCATTTTCTAGTATATATAAAGATAATTATAACACTGTATGGACTTGCTTAATTTCTTGGATTTCAATTATTTATGTGCAAAATTCGTAACTTGGATGCAGAATTCAAAGTTCAAGCAGTAGGCTTATATTAGCACTGTGTTAAATAAATTTATTTTCCATTTATTTAAATGTATTTAATTATAAATTTATATTTTATTCTCCTGGGAACTACAGGGGTTTTTGCCTAGTTCATCTATTCAAGTTTTAAAATTTTGAACCAAACAATTTGCACATAAGCATAAAGCCAGTTTCAGAGTAGGTAATTGGATTTCTGACTCTCAGTTCTTTTGTTTTAACCATTGCCTCAGATTTATCAGATCTTTACCAATGTCTCAACACAGGCATTGATAGTGTGGAATGGGATTATTCTCAAATATAATTAAAGCCACATGTTTTTTTCCAACTGCATAGCAGGTAAATTTCACTGAGATCTCAGCCATGTTACTATTTATCTGTGCTGCTCTTTACTTCTATCTATCTGTCTGTTTCCTATCTGTCCTCTTATCTATTTCAGGCATTCTTCTTCTCTAAGAAATGTAATTTCTGATAGGACTCTGACCAAGAAATGTTCACAACGCCCTAAAAAAACCAACTTCCAACAATACTCTTCTCTGTCTCTGGACTGCAAAAGCCATTGAGTACTAACCTGCTCACTATCTCACGTCTGAATTCAGTTCAAACTCCCAGCCAGATTTTCTCAGCCTCTTTCATTGCTAAGGTACTTTATGGCCCTCTAGAGATGCTGAGAGAGAAATTTGGCGGTAATTAGTTGCAGAGATGGATCGAGCAGTCAGTCAGTAGGTGCTCACGTTGAACTGCACATCTTTCTTTCTTGCCAGATCGTTGGCTGTGACCGCCAGCTGGGAAGCACTGTCAAGGAAGATAACTGTGGGGTCTGCAATGGCGATGGGTCCACCTGCCGGCTGGTTCGAGGCCAGTATAAGTCCCAGCTCTCAGCAAATAAATGTAAGCTGTCCCTTCTGGTAAAGTGCCATCTTTCCTTCTTAGTGAAATACGCGTTTCTTGCAAGCTAGATTTCACCCCACTCTTTCTCTGGCAGTTGAATGGTCATAGTCAGTCTGGTTGTCCCCACAATTTCCTCCCTCTTGTGTTAAATCACGCTGGCTGTGGGGGCGGACAGAAGATTGCAGAAAGGTGTCACCAGAATATACCCCATCTCAGCTAGCTAGTTGCTTGGGAGAAGCGGGAGAATGAGAAGAGCTGGCTGTACCCACACTGCCCTGGCTGTATTAGCTGGCTAGGCATAGGTCTGTCCATGCTGCTCTGAACAGAGTGGTTTATGCTGCTCTACAGCAGCAGGGAACCCTGGGGGGATGGTGGTGCCAACCTGGCACAGTGCTCCCTCTCAGACCTACACCCACAGCATGTCTGCCTGCATGGTGACCCAGTCCTAGGGTGCACTGAGGTGCCAAAGTCGTCGGGAGGTCCCTACATGGATAGGTACAGACAGATGTGGTCTTTCCCACACAGTGCGCAGGCCAGGTTCAGGTTGGAGTGGTAAAGTACCAGTAGTGTGCCCCAGTGATATGGTTAGTTTATCCTGGACCCCAGGCAGGCTTTTCAGCATAGTTACAGCACCATAGGGAGCTATAAAACTTTTGGCATGAGAGATAGGGCATGTCTGGTCAGTTTGAAAGAAGGGTAAAAAGGGAGGTGTGCTGTCATGCCTATGTAGACACACCTAAGGAATCATGTGTGCTAGCCTGCAAACCTGTCCTCAGCCCTACTCAGTGGCATTAGAGTTTAATCAGACCAGCTTTACAATTCTGGAGCACTTTTCCCAGTGCTGAATAGCAGATGACCTAAAAGATTCAAATAGCAGTGTAGTATCTGCTGAAGACTCTGTGTCTACACTTGTGGATTCCTATAGAGATAACATTTAGTTTCTGTGAGGAGCAGTGGGAGGTGCGTTTTACAAAAGCTTCTCTCTGTCAGAGAAGAATGGTGTGGGGAGGGAGAGAAGGAAGGAAGGAAGGAAGG